CGTGCGTGCGTGCGTGCGTGCGTGCGTGCGTGCGTGCGTGCGTGCGTGCGTGCGTGCGTGCGTGCGTGCGTGCGTGCGTGCGTGCGTGCGTGCGTGCGTGCGTGCGTGCGTGCGTGCGTGCGTGCGTGCGTGCGTGCGTGCGTGCGTGCGTGCGTGCGTGCGTGCGTGCGTGCGTGCGTGCGTGCGTGCGTGCGTGCGTGCGTGCGTGCGTGCGTGCGTGCGTGCGTGCGTGCGTGCGTGCGTGCGTGCGTGCGTGCGTGCGTGCGTGCGTGCGTGCGTGCGTGCGTGCGTGCGTGCGTGCGTGCGTGCGTGCGTGCGTGCGTGCGTGCGTGCGTGCGTGCGTGCGTGCGTGCGTGCGTGCGTGCGTGCGTGCGTGCGTGCGTGCGTGCGTGCGTGCGTGCGTGCGTGCGTGCGTGCGTGCGTGCGTGCGTGCGTGCGTGCGTGCGTGCGTGCGTGCGTGCGTGCGTGCGTGCGTGCGTGCGTGCGTGCGTGCGTGCGTGCGTGCGTGCGTGCGTGCGTGCGTGCGTGCGTGCGTGCGTGCGTGCGTGCGTGCGTGCGTGCGTGCGTGCGTGCGTGCGTGCGTGCGTGCGTGCGTGCGTGCGTGCGTGCGTGCGTGCGTGCGTGCGTGCGTGCGTGCGTGCGTGCGTGCGTGCGTGCGTGCGTGCGTGCGTGCGTGCGTGCGTGCGTGCGTGCGTGCGTGCGTGCGTGCGTGCGTGCGTGCGTGCGTGCGTGCGTGCGTGCGTGCGTGCGTGCGTGCGTGCGTGCGTGCGTGCGTGCGTGCGTGCGTGCGTGCGTGCGTGCGTGCGTGCGTGCGTGCGTGCGTGCGTGCGTGCGTGCGTGCGTGCGTGCGTGCGTGCGTGCGTGCGTGCGTGCGTGCGTGCGTGCGTGCGTGCGTGCGTGCGTGCTTTTGAGGGGCTGTAGCTTCTCAGTCACTGCTGTAATGGTAAAAAAAAGCAAACAACTCTTTCATGTTCACAACTACAAGTGGGCTCAATACCTGCTACCTAGATAGGAGTGCAGTCATGCAATGGGGTGAAAATATATTTATTATTTAACTTTGTATTGCTTTGATTGGATGAATGTGGATAGTGGGGGCTAATTGATTTGCATGAATGAAATATTTTAGAACCCATCTTTGAGGGGTTAACCTTCCTCCATAATACCTCACCATAGTGGTATTTGACTTTTGATGTCTAGCACATTTATTTGTTTTAAAGCATTAACCATTAACTATTTGATGGGTTAAAGTCTCTACTGCCCTAAAGATCAAAGATATCAGATGTTATATCTGGAAAATTAAAGGTTTACCTATTAATCCCATATGCAGATACTACCAGGGTTTATTTATACTTTTTGAAGATTTTGCTATCAAACTAAAAAAGATTGACTTTTTCTTTGGCTAATAAACAGTTACCTAGTTATGTGTGTATAAGGCAAGGGAAGGGGAGAAAGAGAAAGAGAAAGAAAAATAAAGATTGACAAATCTCTTTTGAGCTAAACTTAACCAGTAGCCAAAAGGATGGTATTCACATCATTACAATGGACAGAAACTAATAAGAAAAATCGACAAGGCTGTGGAATAGTGAGGCAGGGCAGTTATCACCGATAGTAGCGATAGTAACATTATTATGTATGTGCTGGAGTCATGAAATTTTAATTAAATATAAGTTTTACTATCTGTATGTGAAATTTAAAAAAAAGAAAAAAATAATAATAATATTAAGTGGGAACATGCGCAATATTAAAAAATATATATATATATGTATATGAATATAAGAAAGTAAAGTAGAATAGCACAATAAAAAACCAAGAGGTGGTGTTGACAAAGGGTACATTTTTGTTGAAGTTTATATTTCCCGCAGTTGCTTAGAGTTAAAGAGGAGATGGATTTGATTTGAAGTTTAAAAGAACAATGTTGTTTAAAGACTATATAGTAGCTTATTTCTGTAAATGCCTACACGTATTTATACTTTATTGTGGACGTGAGCAAAAATAGGGGCTATTATCAAAGCGTTACATCTCCATTTTCTGAGATTTCATGCTTAGCCCTCCTGGGGAATGGGAGGCAAGTCCAATTCAGTTTTTAGTCATGTTTATTATAGGATACATTTCCAAATAATAACTTACATACGGAGAAGTCAAAATCTCACCTTTTCGTCTTTTCCTGGTGTCACTTTATTATAAATGAGCATTCATGTTTTCCATTGTCATTTCTGTGCAACCCTCTCGGATGTCTAATGAAGGTTAACTATCAGCATGAATTTCTCTATAATGATATATATTTGTTCTTAAATATTAAAGTGTGTTGATTAAAAGGAAAATAATACAGGTTTATAATTTCAATAATTTGTATTCCAAATGTCATGCTGTGATCTCACCATTACCTACTCTATCATTATGAAGACCGACAATAGCACCTCGTAAATTGTGCAACGTGCATATACCATGTGCATGTACCATTCCCAGTCCATATTAATTTAGAAGCATCCATGTGAAGCAT